TTTTATAATAGTGACCTTTAAAGTGGCATCACACAGAGAAAGCCCCACTGAGATAGCCATAAGACGTACGGGATGTGACAGAGAAAGCCCTGGCCTATGAGCCAGACAGGCTTCGGTGCAAACCCCAGCCCTCACTGTGGGTTCTTGGGTATGGCATTGAACCCCTCTGTGCCCCAGTGTACCTATCTGTAAGATATAAAAGCATCCATCCTCAGTCTTCGGATTGTCTCAGAATCTCAGTTTGAGATTACAAGAAGACATGAAAGATGATTTCACAGATAAAGTAAATTGAGGCCCCAATTTATAGAGTAAGGCTCCCACATAAAGTCACAAAGGAAGACCAAAGCCCAAACTGATTCCAGGACCAGGGATCCATAGTTGGTACCTAATCAACACCCTATGTCCTTCATCCTTAGCTGGACTCAGGAGGTAGGATTTGTGCCTTGTCACAATTAAGAGAGGCCATGCTTTTAGATGAAATGAATAGGACACACATGTGTAAATACGGAAGTTTCTCTGGTGTGAGAAACTGCAAGTGTAAAGGAGGATCAAAAGGCATAATAGATAATGTGAAATAGGAAGAAAAGGCCCAAAGGGGAAAGGGAAATGGGAGGGGTAGGGGAAAGGAAAGAAGGGAAAGGAATAAATATGAGAAAAGGATAAAACAGAAGCAAAGTCTTTGTAAATAGGGAGGGGTGGAGGGGTGAAGGGAGGGCAGGGGAATGGGGAAAAAATAAGAACCAAGTTATATCATGTAAAGGTGCAAATTTCCAATGAGGAGTGTAACTGTATTGTATACCTAAAATGTACCAATAAATGAATGAGTAAAAAAAATGAAAAACGAGCGATCCAATTGCAAATAAAAAGAACTATGAGTTCACAGGTAGTCATTAGATCCCCTTAGCTCTTCTTTCCTCACCCATTAAGATACAATCACAAATAAATGTGGTAATAAATCTATGAGAATATTTTGGAAACTATAAATCTAGGTGCATACAAGTAATTCTGGCCAGATGTGGTAGCGCACACCTGTGATCTCAGCACTCGGAGGCTGAGGCAGGAGGATTAACAGTTCAAGCCCAGCCTGGGAAACATAGCAATTTAGTGAAACCCTGTATCAAAAATCAAAATCAAAAATAGGTTTGAGGGTGTGGCTTAGTGCAAAATCCCTGGGTTGAATTTCAAATACAACAAAAATTGAAGAAGGAAGAGGAGGAGGAAGTAATTATGATAATGCCAATGGTTTATTATAATGACCATCTCCCATCCAGCCTGTGACTCCACTTGTCACTCACAAGTGGCCCAAGAGGAATTTAGGAGAGCATCAGGGATGTGGTGAGGCCCAAGATATCAGATGTTGCGCCATCTACATTAATCAGAGGAGGATGGAGCAAGCAATAACTATAGTCTCCATAGGAATAGCTACAAGGAGTCAAAAACAATCAGCAATCAACCCCCATTTGAGTGTAGGTAGGTTCACGTGTCACCAGCAAATAAGCAAGTAGAAGTTGATCTGGGTCAGGTGTAGCAATATTGAAGGCTCAGGATCAAGCAACATGAAAATGAGGGAGTTTTTAATGGTACCCCATCTCCTGGCCAACACCATGTCCTACCAGGTCCATGCAGAGAACCCCACAAAGAGAGAATAGAATGCAAAATATTCAGCATCTCTTTCCATTTCCCATCCACTTTCAGGTAGAATTGTTTCTCCCACACAGGGGCCAACTATAGTGAACCTTCTGTTCCCGAGTAAAAGAAAAAAAGTGAACAACTGTACTCACTCTGCCTTGTAGTGAAAATTAAAATTTCTAGGGAGCAAAGTTCCCACTCACCCTCTTCCTTGGCCTGGATTCTCTGGCTGACCTTTGACTTTTTCCACTGGAACTTGAAATACTGAGGCATGTCACGGGCTGTTAACTCTGAAATCTTGCCAGCCACAAACCCCCAGTGTGGAAAACTTGGACATCCTACACCTTCAGTACTGGTAAGATTAGAAAGGTGTGTGGTTAGCCCTAAATTCACTTATCCATTTTTAAGTATCTTCTATGTCATAATAATCCTATGAAAGACACTTGGGCTACGATAACGATTAGGTATCTGCCCCCAAAGTAATTTCATGCCCCAGTCATATACCACAATTGCTCCCTGACCACATCTATGTGTGGATTAAGTTAATTCAAAAGGGCAGTCATTGAAGTATAAATGTGTAATGTACTCTACGGTGATTTTTTGTTGCTGTTTGCATTTTTGGCTTGTGGCATTTTGTGTTCTCATAGTTAAATTTATCTTCCTAGGAAGAAGCCATGTGTGAGAATTTTTAATTTGCTGTGGTTTTCATAATGTAAAATCATAAGGGTGGTAGTATAAAAACCCAGAATAAGTTGGATGGGAAATTCTCAACTCAGTACTCTATCAGAAAGACTTTAAAAGAAAAAAAAATAAACAATTGGCTTGGTATGCTTTGATTCTACACATTATGTATCATTCTGCTCCCATCTCAAGAGTTCTTAGAATAATTCAGTGGCAGCAGAAGCTCCAACCTTGTGAGACAAGAAAGATGCCGTTTGATGTTGGAAGTGGACAAAGCATCAGTAAAGCAGATGGAAATGTGATTATGTCAAGAAGGATGAGATATCTAAGTTTGGGTACATAAGGGATTGGTTACTTATTGGGCAGAAAGTGTAGGCTGAACAAAGATCACAGAAATCCTTGACAGTTACAATGAGATATTGGATTTTATCTTTGTAGGTGGAGATGCTGAACATATTTGTGTAGTCAAGATGGAGCCACCAAACTTTTTTGGTATTTATGAGCTAGAGTTCAGGAAAGAAGATTCAGAACATGCACAGATGAAGAACCCCTGATACAAGCCAAATAGGCTAAGCATAACTCACAGGGTTGCAGGAACATGGTAAGTCATGAGTTGTATTCCATTCCCCCACCCAGGAACATTGACCACAGAGCTACAGCTCTGCCCATGGCAGAGTCTTCCAGATGCTCCTAGTTGAGAAGAACCAATGGAGCTGAGACCTGGATACTTCTGCCTTCACTGCTTCCACCCAGCCCATGTGTGGCTTGAGTCTCAAGCAGGGAGAGTCTGTCCAGTTGTTCAGTATTGCCCTCTGTAGAAAGCCAACAACTCACTCACGGTGCTGCAAAAACAAAAATCTTTGTGATAGTGAGGATAAGAAGCGTTCTCTACAATGAACAATTCATAGGCCCTAGAGATCTATGAAATTGAGTATCGACACAGATCTATGTGTGTATCTCTCTCTCTCTCTCTCTCTCTCTCTCTCCTGCCTCTCCTCCCTATTCTCTGTGTTCTTGCCAGAAATGGAACCTGCACACTCACTATTGGGCCTCACCAGTTCCTGGGGCACCAAGAGACCATCCAGGCAGCCATTTAAAAAGTGGATGACCAAGGAAAAGTGATAAAAGTCCCAAAAAAGTTTTTCCCACATGATGGCTAGGAATAGATACTTTGTGTTTTGGGTGCTGATTTCTCTCTTTTCCTTCTGATTTTTCAGATATTTCCAAGGCTAGGCAGTAGAGTTTGTGTAAACTTATCTTGGCCCAGGTAACGCTTAAGGATGAGTAAGTGCTTATGTCCTAAGCCTTAGGGGTTAGCTTTCCTGCTAGTCCTGTTTGAACTAGTCACCAAACTAGTAACCAGTGGGGTCTAATCAAGGTTGTTTTGTTGGTTTCTGAGACAGGAGAGTAACAAATGAAGATAAAATTTCAGGTGTTCATTCAATAAATCATTCAGACACCATC